GAGAAAGAAAATAAATTCCTTCATGATCAAGCCTGTAGATTGGCACTTTTTATAGTATAATATAGTATAACTACTTAATTCTAGGAGATATTATCTCCTTATTGATATGTGAGGCATGGATTCCTTATTTTGTTGAATTCTTTTGGTGACTTAGTGTTTCTTCATAATATTTAAGCATTTAAGATTTCTTATTCTGTTTTTATTTGAAAATTTTGGAATCATTTTGAAATGACTGTAAGTATAACTGCTCACCTACTTTCTCATTTTATGTGGTTCAAAATTTTTCTTAGTTTTTTCTGATTCAATCACTACTACGTTGCTTCGGTTCTAATTCTTGAATTTACTGTTTTCATTTAAAGAAATTAAGTTATTTGCTTATTTTTTTGTTATCGGCCTTTGAGTCAAATTTTTTTTTTTTTTAAATATGACATTTGAATTTAATATTTACTTATATAACAATCAAATCTTTAATATCGAGTACCCAAAAAAATATCCAATTTGTTAATTTTATGGTTTGAAGAAATCCAATGACGATCTTTGAATTTGTCACATATAATCTAAACTATTTGTACTGTTTGTCATTCTAGGTTTCACATTCCTTTGAAGGCTTTTGACTATTACTTTCACAATTCTCATCTTTTCTAGTTACATTTGCCTTTTACTTGTTTATAATCAGTTGTTATAGTGATAATCTGCTGGCTGGAACTTAAAGTAATGAGGAGTCCATGCATCGCATTCAAATAGACGTTTGTAACTCATTAGCGTAACGAACCGTGGCAGTATCTTGGCTGATAGGAAGAGCTAGGTGCTCTTTTGATTGACCAATCCTCGTTCTGACAAAAATATTGATGTCCATGTGCTATAACTTATGTCTCCTTTCATTAATTTTGATAACAACTGTCATGTGTTAATTTTTCCTGGCTTTTGGGAACATTGCATTTCTTTCAGAATCGAGAAACCATTTTAAACGTAATTTAACTTTATTAACAACTATAGTAAGGCATGGAGTGAATTTTGTATTTTAGTGTGGGAGGTGACATGGGTTTTGCTAGGTGAAGAGTTGCGCGAGGCATAATTTGGACTGGTTCGGTCCAGACAAATCATGGATTGGCTGGTCTTCTTGGCTGCAGTGGAGTGCCGCCCAATAGGGTTGGATCACTTCTAGTTATTCTAGGTCTATATATGTTTTTTGTGTTGTGTTTTACAACAATCTTTTTAGTTATTTTTTCGGGACAGCAACCGACATCTTAGGTTTCCTTCTAGGGCTATATCTAATGTTTGAATGGTGCTTTGGCTATATATCACTCCTGCGATGGTGATTATCCTCATCCTTCCTTCATCCGCATCCCTCCCTTCATTGTCGTTGATGCCTTACATAAATGAATTCAACAATAAAAGAATTTGCTTGAGTAAGAAACAAATATAAAAAGTGGTTCATTTATGAAAACTGATACAAGAGTCATACAGAACTTTCTATGCGTTTTAAAGAAAAAATCTTTTCAAGTCATCACCTCTCCAAGTTCGAGGGACCTCATTTTCAGCAAAAGTTTTTAATTTGTATTTCTTCGGTTCTGATTCAATCACTACCACGCGCCATTAGGTGAATGATGTGAGGATCTCTCCAAGTTTGGTCCAGTTTACCAATCGCTTGTCCTCTTGTAACGGGGTTGGCCTTCATTAACACCAAGTCTTCGGGGGCAAACGTTTCTTCTCGAACGTTTTTGTTGAAGTATTTGAATGCCCTCCGTTTGACTTCTTCAAGTCGAAGAGCTGCATTAGCTCGGTTTTCCTTCGCCAGGAGCATGCATTATTCCTTCGTCATTTGTTTCACGCCACTCTCCCGGGCTTTCTTCCTTGAAAGTTGGAGTCAGGACCCTTTGGTTATAGTTGTCGTATTCAACTGGCAATATGGATTCCATCTCGTGAGATAGCATCGATGAAGCTTGGCCGGTGAATTTGGATGGTGTCATTCGGATCCCCAATAGCACCGAGGGAAGTAAATCTGCCCATTTTCCTTTTGTTCTTTTAACTTTTTCTCTCAGTAGATTCAAGATAAGTTTGTGGCGACTTCTGCCTGGCCCTTCGTCCGGGAGTGTGATGCAATAAGGCAAACTTTCTTGGGTTTTACAAAAATCTTAAAATCTTTGATTCGCATACTAGGTTTCGTTGTCCATGATGATGACAAGTGGCAACACATAACGACAGATAAGGTCAGTCCAGATGAAATTTTGAATGACTTCTGTTGTTATGTGAACGAAGGCTTTTGCGTTGGCCGCCAGCATGAACTTGCATTGCACCTTTGACGATGGAAAGGGTCAGAGGATATCAAGCATACAAACGACAAAAGACCATGGACTCACGTTCGGTTAAAGTTTTTGGGTCGGTTGGTGTCGTAGTGGGACGTATTCTTGACATTGCACACATCTCTGGGAATACCTTTCTGCATCTTTCAGTAAATTCGATCAAAAAAATTCTTGTCTTTGGTCTCAGTGGGCGAGTGTTTTTCCTCCGGAGTGATTTCCACACTCCCCAACATGGACTTCACAGAGAATATCTTCAATCTTGTTCTCCCTAACGCACTTAAGATATATAGATGTGGTTGATTTTCTGAATAGTTTTCCTTTGATGATTGGATACTGGGAAGCTTTAAATTTGAATTTTCCATGATTGGTGATCTCCTCATCGATTTCTCCTGTCTTCAGATAATGAACATGTGGGTCGATCTAACTTTTTTTTACTTTAAAATGAATCTTTATCGCCAATGGTTCTTCAATGGTAAGTCTATCAAGCCTTTGGTTTGTCCCTTTACTAGACGAAGACTTTGAGACAGGAGTTCGGCGATTTGTTTTTCTTCTCTTCAGGCATGTTCAATTTTGAAGCTAGCGAATCTGTAGATTTCAGGTTTTACTTCCCCAGGGTATTTTGCCAATGTCTCATCTCTCGTATCAAATTCTCCGTTGATTTTTTTGACGACTAGCTACGAGTTCGGCTTTACTTATATGTGGAGAGCCCCATTTCCGACGCAAAGTGAATACCTGCGATCAAGACTTCGTATTTTGCTTGATTGTTAGCAACTTGAAAAACTTACCTCGACTGAGTGGTAAATTTTCAACATGCACATTGAGGATTCAAAAGACGCGAGGTGATTTATTAAGATCTGACTGTACCGTATATGACTCCAAAGCTGACAGTTTAAACTTCTTTGGAGGCATTGCTCCTGAGATCTGAGGGAGAAAGCGTTCTCTGGCTGCTGCAATACTTCTATTTGCCTCGTCATCTTTCTACCATCGAGGCGGATCCGGCGCTGATTTGGTACAACACATCCTTGACCCTCTTCGGTAGATGGTTCGGTCTCCTCCCGTTGTGTACCGGCGGTTCCTCTCGGGGGGTTTATATGGTTCTTGTAGAATCCCTCTAGAACGAAGGCTGCTCCCAAGGCTACGACTGCTTTGAGGACCTCTGCAAATTATCCCGACATTTGATTCGTGATCTGGGTTCTTAGATCTTGCAGTCCCTATTGTACAAATCCTTCCACAAACTCTCTAGTGCATTCTGTCTCCACTGTCTTTTTGACTGGTTTCTCATTGATGTTGTTGTTGTTGTACTCTTCTTTTTGTTGATGGTATGGTTCCACGCTCACCGCATCTGAAAGGAAGTTGAATCCAAAAACGTCTGAGAATCACCCCCAAGGAATAGAGCGTGGCACTAAGCGAAGCTAAGAGAGAGAACTAGTAATAAACAACGTGTATCCTTTTTATTATCAAATAACCCCCTATTTATAGACATAAATGTTTGAATTTTACAATTATAAATTTGTCCCCTAATCATTAACTTCTTGGGGGTTCTTTTTTTAAATTACAAAAATAAAGTAACAAGTGGGATCATCCGATCGATACTAGGTATGGTTGTCGTCCTATCTTGTCGGTCGTTTGTCTTTGGGTTGCTAGATCGGTAGTCGATCAATGAAGGACCGGCCGTCTCTAACCGTCGGATTGTCCCGAGATTCATGTTATAGTGTCAACCTGTCTCCTGTTTTTCTAACAATCGTCATTTCTTTTGAACATTAGATTACTTTGAGATTCGTGTTATCGTATTTTTCATATACAGAAATGAAGTTCGATGTAATTCTATAATCCATGTTTTGCCAAATCTTTCTTCATTATTTCCATCTGAGCTAGTTCAACTAATGTATTCAGTGTAACTTTGATTCTTTTCTAGAGTAATTGCTTGCGATTTCCATCTTCTAGGGCTTGATTAATTAAAATAAGACAACTAACCTCTTTGCTGTAAAGTTCTGCTGGAATCCATTTTCCATCTTCCTTTTTTTTGTTTTTCTTTTGAGTATTAGCACCGTTCCTTGTCAATGCTTCCTTGTACATATTCTATCGGGCTGAAAATTTGAATTAATTGCATATTGCTGATAACAGATACCAAAACATCAAGATCACATAATGTTAAGGTTTATTGATGCATCTCTTTTAGACAAAAGCCAAAGTACTTCGTCTTGGTGAGGCAATTTTTTGTAGAAAAACTAAATGTTTGAGGTGCATATTTGACATAGATGGAATTCAATTTGAGGATTTTATTAACTACTTTTAAAACCTTCACCAGCTAATTTAGCTGGCACCTATAACAACCTGGTCATTAGCTTTATAAAAGTACCAAACGACCTAAAAATTTTCTGCCATGTAATTGTGGGACCATGCACACTCATTTAGAACGAAGGAACTCACAATTATATCAGTCTCCTTTGTTTGCTTTTGCTTTTCTGCATCCATTCGCTCCGACCGCTTCTTGTTCCCTTCCGCCCCACACAAAATTAACAACCTTTTTTTTGTCTCAATAAACGATTGCTCGGTCTGAATGAAATGGAGGTATGCTCTTCGATCTTCTCTAGTTTTGATTCTCCTTTTTTTCCTCTTACTTGCACCTTACTCAATTCTTGCTTACTCCCACTTTTTTCACTTTCACTGTCAAATTATAATGTTGCACTGCTGACCTTCGTTTAGCTCATTTTATGGCAGTTTACAGTGATCGGGGCACTCCGGCTTCATTTAAAGTTCCTGCAGGTGCTGTAATTCCTTTTGGATCAATGGAATCAGCTCTCAAGCAAAGTGTCTCTCTAGATAGCTTCCTCTCTCTCTTAGAAGCCATAGAAACAGCAAAACCTGATGGGGGCGAGCTCGATCACCTGTGCTCTGACCTCCAGACATTGATATCAGCTCAAGTTCCATCTCAAGCAACCATTGAAGCCATTGGCAGAATTTTTCCAGCTAATGCCCGGCTTATAGTAAGATCAAGTGCCAATGTTGAAGATCTTGCTGGAATGTCAGCTGCTGGACTCTACGATTCTATCCCAAATGTCAGAACCTTGAGCCCGACAATCTTCGGAGCTGCAGTAGGCCGTGTATGGGCTTCCTTGTATACAAGGCGAGCTGTTTTGAGTCGTCGAGCTGCCGGTGTTCCTCAAAAGGAGGCTCAGATGGCTGTTTTGGTGCAGCAGATGCTCTCTCCTAATCTATCTTTTGTGTTGCACACTGTGAACCCACTGGAGCATGACCCCAGGCATGTTATGATTGAGATTGCATCAGGTTTAGGGGAAACTCTAGCTTCAGGAACTCGTGGTGTTCCGTGGAGGCTATCCTCTGACAAGTTTGACGGCAAAGTTGATACAATAGCTTTCGCAAACTTCAGCGAAGAGCTATTAGTGCTTGATTCTGGGCCTGCAGATGGAGAAGTTGCCCGTTTTGTTGTGGATTACAGTAAGAAGCCATTAACAATCGATCCTATCTACAGAAGGCAGTTGGGGCAACGCCTTTGTGCTGTTGGGTTCTTTCTTGAGCAGAAATTTGGCTGCCCACAGGACGTTGAGGGCTGTGTTGTAGGGAATGACATCTTCATAGTTCAGACAAGGCCTCAGCCTTGAAAAGTAATTTGAGTTCCTTCGTGAGGCGAAGTTATGGAAATAAAAAGGACAGCGTGCACTGATTATGTTATATAGTTCTCTTTAGTCTTGAGAATAGGCACATCAATCAACTCCAGCTTGTTCAGCGTTCAATTCATTTCTACGTTGAACTGAATTGACATTGTGTCATATATATATATA